GTTCATCGATTTGCTCAAGCAAGCCCAGTAATGTCTCCATTGTGAGACTTGTTGTTACTGTGTTTGGCATATCGAATACCTCACGGGTAGCTTGCCAGGCTCTGCCGTGCGGGCGAGATACTCTCGGTAGCTTGCCGTGCTCTCCGAGAGGGGCGGAGGAATCGAACTCGGGTCAGCCATGTTGGCTGCGTGCAAGGCAAACGCCCTACCACTGTGCTATCACTCCAGCCCAATATAGAGATGAGCCACATTTATTTACCTTCATTAGCACATCACTCCCAGCAATGGACTTGGGCAGGTGGGACGGATGACTGTGAGGTCATGGCTGGAACCCAAGGCTTGGCATTCTGAACATGTGCCCCAACCCTGAGCCATCCTCCCAGCCTCTCCAAACACACTTTAATCTCATTATTTGCACCTACCCCAATACAAATTAAACTAAACATTTTTGGGGAGTTGGTCACAGCTGGTGATGCTCAGAGATTACTTCTGGCTCTACACTCCTGAATCACTCCTGGCAGTGCTCGGGGGACCATATGGGATGCCGAGGATCGAACCCAGGTTCGGCTGCACACAAGGCAAGTGTCCTCCCCTCTGTACTATCTCTCCGGCCCCTAAACTACATTTTTTCAATGAATTGAAGGAACTACTTTTAATACTGAATGCTGAAAATGTTGCTTCTTGGGGTGGGTGTTTGGGGTTCACCATTTAAAACAGCAGGATTGTCGAATCCTTCACTGCTCCAATTTCCACATCAGGATAATGATGCAGATGATAATAATAATGATGGCTGCCTTACAGGATGGGCAGGAGAATAAATCAGGACATTCAGCACAGGGCCTGGCCATATCAATACTCAGCAAATGTGAGTTTATTTTGGGATTTGGGACCACACCTGGCAGTGCTTAGGGGACCTGTGTGCTGAGGACACACCTAACCCCTTATATTAGCCCCGTGTCCAGCAAATGTTATTATTATTAGTATTATTATTGAGCGATAGCACAGCGGTAGGGTGTTTGCCTTGAGTGCAGCTGGCCAGCCCAGCCGGGTTCGATTCCTCCGCCCCTCTCGGAGAGCTCGGCAAGCTACCGAGAGTATCTCGCCTGCACATGCCAAACACAGTAACAACAAGTCTCACAATAGAGACGTTACTGGGCCCGTTCGAGCAACTCGATGAACAGTGAGAGGACAATGCAGTGCAGGTAATTATTATTTTGCTTTTTGGGTCATACCCGGCGATGCACAGGAATTACTCCTGGCAGTGCTCAGGGGATCATACGGGATGCTGGAAATCGAACCCAGGTCAGTTGCATTACAAGGCAAATGCCCTACCCACTGTGTTATCACTCCAGCCCTACAAATGTTACTTTTAAGCAATTTCCATTTAACTTTTCCATCATCAACATGTGCATCCTGGCATATATACATCTATTTGTCATATACATGTAGGGTTATGAGATAAGTTAGGATCTCGGGGTTTACAGCTGGAAGAAATTTATAGATCCAGTTCAAACTTCTTGTTTTATACATGAACATATGCAACCATTGGTCAGGTGAGGACCAGAAATGGTCAGGTGAGGGGTAGAAATGATACGTGAGGTTTCTGGTTTAGGCTTTCTTTCTACTTTTCTTCCCTTCAGTATAATTTTATTGAAATCATTTATTTTCAATATTTTGAAATATTCCATAAGCTTTTGGTTCTCAGTAAATTATAGCATCACAGTTAATGTGGCTTATGTTCATGACTGTTCATCACTCCATCAACTAGGAATTTTATTCAGTAAAAAGACTCTACCTGAGGGCCATGGAGATTGCTCCAGTGGTAAGAAACATACCTAATCTAGACAAAGCCCTGAGTTCCAGCCGGAGAACTTCCTAGACCTGCCTACTGCCACCAAATGTGGTCCCTAGCTGTTTGTTTGTTTTTTTTTTTAAGTCCACTGACTTAAATAAAAAATCCAGAGGTCATCAAAGTAGTAGTAAAATGTGTTTTATGAAATAGGCAAATTCTTCACATGTGCACTTAAAAATTGCAAGTATTAGGGAGGAGCTGTGTCTCGGTGGTTAAGTACATACCTCACCTGGGTAAAACCCTGGGTTTGATCCCCAGCACTGCAAAAATAAAGTTTGGATATTGATTCCACTGATATATAATCTAATATTCAAACCCCTGAGTCAGGACTTTTGCTCTATTTTATATTCCCATAACTGACTCACGGTAAGATCTTGGGCAAGTCACTTGACCTTCTTATATTTCAGTGTGTCAAAATAGTCATAAAACTTAGCAAAGCATGACCTCGTTTTAAGTGCAATAGACTTGAAAGCAAAGATGTGCTTTGATACACGAAAGAATTGCCAAAAGAGAAGGCTAGTAAAATTTGAAGAACCAGAAAGTGAATTTTATTATAAATAAAATGATTCTGAATGCATAGTCTTTAGCAAGGAAAGTCATCTAACAGTTTCTTTTATTTGGGTGGAATAGGTTAAATAATGGGAAACATTATTTTATGGAATTCCTGGTTTTCAAAACCAGAGATGATAACAACTTAACTAAAATAACCATATGGAATAGAAGCTGTTAAACGCTAATGAACTCTATTTTGGGGGGGGAGGGTTTGGGCCATAGTAATACTTAGGCCCATTCTGAGGTCAGAGATCACTCCTGGAAGTAACCATAGGCAGTGCAGGGAATTGATCAGTGCTCTCTGTGTGCAAGGCAAAAGCACTTTAACCCCTGTACTAAGTCTCCTGCCCCTAATGGATCCTTAAAAATTTAACATATCTTGTTTCTCAGTCAATATTGTAACGTATACTTATATATACATGTGTGCACATGTATATATATGTGTGTGTATTTTTTTTAAATCTGGGGGCCAAGGGAGAGGAGTATTTCATACCCTGTACTTGGAAGGCCCTAGGATTGAACCCAGGCTTCCAACATGGAAAGCATATGCTCAGTCCTTCAAGCTCTGCTTTTAAATGCACTTAACTAATGACTTTATAGAAAGAGTGACCAAAAAATACAAATTCCCTTAGTAATGGAGCTTTTTAAAATTACCCGTGGTGTGCTTGGAGGACTGTGCGAGTTCAGTGCCAGGGACTGAACTTGGGACTCCTGCATGCAAAATCTGAGCTCCAGCTGGTGGAGTTTTCTCCTCTCCTGGGCCCAGAAGGAGATGCAGTTTAACCAAGTACTTGGCCGTTCAGACATGTCGCTCACAGGATTATTGAAATTGACTTTATATAAATATTAGTCCTTCCTCTATGTTCTTATTTCCAACTTGATGGTGACAGTGATGGGGATGATTGGCAGATTGGCAAAGTAAGTACAGCCTTTCCAATCTGCAGAGGGAAGGTCGTACCGGTCCCTTGTTGGCTGCTGTAGGCTTTGATTGTTGTTCTGATGAATGATGAATGCTTTGAGGTCACCCCTGATGGGCTCAGTGGGTTATTCCCAGTTCTTTCCGAGGGTGTGAGGGGTCATGCCTGGTGCAAGCACTCTGGTGGCTGAACTACCTCTTTGGCCCTGCTTTTGAAATTGAAGAGCAGGCTAACCCTTTCTGCAGCATTCCAGGAGGACTATCAGCCAGAACATTTCCACAGATGCTTGACCGGGATTACCCAGGCAGTCCTCTGGCATCTGCAATGTGCCTGAACAATTTCCCATTCTTTTAAAAACATCATTTTGAAAAAAGAACCCCCCCCCCCCAAAAGCATCATTTTTGCAGGCTCCGTGAAAGTCAGAACTGTGGAAAATCAAGCAAAATCTTTTGGAACAGAGCTGCCAATCTCCACGTTCCCAGAAGGGACAAGCAAGTGATAACTTGGAACTGTTGTCCAGACGCTGTAAACAAAAGATCAAATTCTGTGTTCAGCCTTGGCCAGGAATGAAATGGCTTAATTTTTTTCTTTTTTGAAGGAAAAAAAAACCGACTTGGGCTTCAAATGAAGAACTGACCACGCTTTTTCTGTACTACAAAAAAAAAAATCACCCAAGCCCCAGGAAAATCAAGGATGAAATAGTATTTAAAGGGGAACCTACTAGATTATGCGTTAAGCGGTGGTCTGATGAAGCTGTGTGCTAGCTAGGGCCGTCAGGGAGGGGAGGGGATTCTGTTTTTCCTTGTGTGCACGGATCTCTAAATTCAGATCTGATCAACTCAGAACCAGGAACATTCAGAGAAACAAAACGCACCAAAAAAATAAACACATAAACGTTGCAAAGCTTGGGCTGTAGAAGATGCATGGTTCAGTTTAGAGCAGCTCAGAATGAACAGTGCTTTCCATAGGGGAGGAAAAAAAAAAAGAGAGAGAGAGAACAGAACTGGTGGGGTGGGGGGGTGGGTGGAGAGTTACTATTCCGGCAAACCGGCAAAAGTATTCCGTGGGAACGTGAAATACATGAACGAGTGGCTAAGCCCACCCCGAGCAAAGACACGAATTCCGCACTACTCAGACACACACAGGCACCGGGCTCAAGCGCCTTCTTCCCGGGGGAGGAGGGCTCTGGCCCCTTCCAGATCCTTCTGGGCGGTTGGAGGATGTGCGGTCAGCGCGCCTCCCGCCCCCGCAGCCCCGGCGCCCAGCGGCGGCCCCCCGCCCCCCAAGCGACCCCCCAGCCCAGCACGCGGGCCGGCGGGCGCGGGACCCGGGGCGTGCGCGGCGGGGCCAGGGCGGGGCCGGCCCCGGGGAGCGGCGTCCCCCGGCTCGGCTCTGCCGCCGGGGCGCGCGCGGGCGGCGGGCGGCGGGCGCGCCGGGGGGCGGGGCCAGCGCGCGAGGCCCGGCCCGGCGCGAGGCGCGCGCCGGCGGCGGCGGCGGAGGGATACGGCGCGCCGTATATATACGGCGGCGCGCAGGCTCGCGCTTCGGCACTGGTGCTGGCAGGCTCGCGGGCGCGGCGCCGTTACTCGCGGTGGGGCCGGAGCGCAGGCGGCAGGCACAGGCGGCAGGCACAGGCGGCACAGCGCCCCGCGCACCCCCGCGCCCGAGCAGCAGCGGCAGCAGCGGCAGCGGCAGCAGCAGCGGCAGCAGCGGCAGCGGCCAGCAGCAGCCACCGCGGAGGCCCCCCGCCGCCGTCTCAGCCCCTGAGCTGGTGCAGCCCCCCTCGCCCCCTCGGCTCGTCCTGCGCTCGCCCGCACCATGGTAGGTCGGGAGTGGCCGCGGGAGCAGCCTCCGGCTCGGGGGTGTCGCCCCCCACTCCACCTCCCGGATTTTGATTTCTGGGGTATCGGTGTGCGTGTGCAAGTGCCGAGAGGGGAAGAGAGAGAAAGGAAGGAGAGAGTAGGGGGTGGGTGGGGGGGAGCTCTCTATTAATATTATTTTTTTCCGGGTGTTACGCAGCAGTTGCGGTTAGGAGGGATGCATTCCGGATTTGCATCTCGGTTTCCTCGTCGTTTCCCCCCCCCCCACCCCCGGGGCTTCTCATTTAAATTTTGGTCTGCCCCCCCCCCCCCCCTTGGAGCTGGACTTGGCCTTGGGCTGACCGCGAGCGGGATTGCGGGGTGGAGGAGTGTGTGTGTGGAGGTGGGGGGGTCGTCCCAGGCGCGACCGCACCGGGCCCTGGCGCATCCACCCCCCCCCTCCCCCAGCCCCGCACCGCTGCACGCAGCGCGCCGCACCCGGGCAGCCCGCAGCGCTGCGCCTCGGCCGGGGCCCCGGAGGGGGGGGGGGGTGGGGAGCCGGGCGGGGCCGCGCTCCGGGTCCCCCCCCACCCCTCGCCGCCTGCTTCCCCCGCCCTTGCCTCTCCCAGTTCCGAAGGCGGCCGCGGGCCCGGGCGCACGGCAGAATGAATGGGTGGCCCGGGAGCCGGTGGCGCACATTGCTCCCACCGCGCCGTTGGGGTGGCGGGGTGGAAGGGGGTGGTCGTCGTGAGTCCCCGCCTCCCCCCACACCACCACCACCACCACCACCCTTCTTCCCAGTACCGACCCCGCTCAGCCGTCCTCCCCCCTTCCCTCTGCTCCCGCCCGGTTGTGGGGGGGGGGGGCGCGCCACGGGCGTGGGCTGGGAAGGAAGGAGCCGGGGAAGGGTGGGGTGAAGGCAGGAAGGCGAGGGGTGGGGGGCCCGAGAGGGCGGGCGGAAGCTGCGGGCCGGGCTTGGGCCCCCCCCCCCCCCCACACACACACAGAGACCCCACCCCGCTCGGGTGGCGCGACCGGCACCCGGCGACCCCCGGGCGGGCGGCCCCGCGGGCGGCGTTGCGGCTGCACCCGGAGGCCCCTTCCCGCGGGAGGCGCGCGCGCGCCCGCGGCCCGCGCTAATTGGGGCGGGGGGGGGCGGGGGAGGAGGCGGGAGCTGGCGCGCGCCTCGGTTTCCATTAGAGACGCGAAGTTTCTGCTCGGGGAGGAGGAGGCGGCGGCGGCGGGCGCGGCGCCTGGGGGAGCAGCAGCAGCCGCGGGTGGGAGGCAGGCGCGGGGCGGGCGGGCGCCGCGTGGCCCTGGAGTTGGGGCCGGGGCGCGGCACGGCGCGGCGGGCGGGCGCGAGGGGGTGGTCCTGGCGCCCCAGCCCGCCCTCCACTTCCCCATCCTCGTTGTCCTCGGCGTTTCCGCTTTCTCCGCAGCCTGCGCGCTCGCCAGATGCGCCTGTGCGCGCCCCGATGGGCGTGTTGGCCACGGCCCCTTCCTCCCGGGCCCCGCAGGGCTGACATCACCCTCTGCCCGCAGGTTCCCATCACCTTTGCCCCCGGGGCTGGCTCTGCTTGGGGGAGGGGGTCGGGGGGGGGTGATGCTTGCACAGCCCTCCCCCCCTCCCCATCCCCATCGGAAGGAGAGTTTGGGGGCGAGGTGGGACTGATCCCCCCCCGCCCCCCTCCCCGGAACAGCGACAGTTTTCTCCTGCAAGGTGTGGCCGTGCTTCCTGTTGTACAAGACAGACGGAGCCCTGGCGTTACATAAATCATCATCGTGTCGCCGCCTTTTAGCAAAAGAAAACCCAATTTGCAGTGACTCGGCGGCTTGGGAAGGGAGGAAGCCCAGTTTGGAAAAATTACTTGAAACAAAGAAGCCCCCCGCCCTCCTCCAGTCAACATAGCAGAACCCCATTTCTATGGAAAGTTTTCATTTAGGACTTGGACTGGATTTGTGGTTGGCTTTCTCTTTGTAACTGGCTTCATTAGGCGTCCTTCATTAAAATAAAAATACATATTAGCTCTCCTTGAGAGCTGAATTCCCCTGACTGGAGGCGCAGGCTGTGTGTTGCAGAGACCAAATAATGCAAGTGAGAATTGCCACCTCCAGTAAAGCGTGCTTATTATGAGCAACTCTTATGTCATCCTAGAGGTGGGGAGAGTAAATATTTTCCAGCGAAGTTTTCTCTCCCAGAAAGAAAGAGAGGGTAACCTCGGAATCTTTTGGGTTTTTTTTTGTTTTTTTTTGTGTGTGCCGTCCATAGTTTTTTTGCAGTTCTGAAACGGCTTCCGAGCCCTGCTTCACAGGATAATTTGACTGAGGGCATTAGCCATAGTAATTGTTGGCCTCCAACAAATAAGTGCCTCATTTAAATGATTGGAAAGCATTCATTACAGCAGAATGAAGTGGGAAGGGTAACCCCTTGCTATGTATTTATTTTTTTTCCTGCTGGATGTAAAAGCCCCTTAATTCGACACAATGCCATTATGTAACTCCAATTTGGAGATTGGAAGCGCCCGCAGCAATGCGCAAGGTGCGGTGAGTGAAAGCCTACCCTGGACTCGATCCTGCTCGCAGTTGGCTGCGGTGCCAGCGGCGCCTGGCTGGATCCCTGGGCGCCTGCGGGCGCTGTGGGGGCTCGGGCCGGTAGGTGGCGCTCTCCCTTCTCCGCCTGTGATGCTGCAGATGCCACGGGGCCTGTTGCCGCTAGAGGAGCCCTGTTTTCAGATGAGGCGGTCCCCCCTCCCTCTTTGGACAGGAGGGCGCAGGGCCACAGGCCCGGGAAAGTGACATCCTTTGTCTTCACAGTGTCACCTGGGGCTCTCATAATTCTGATGGCTGTCATTAAATGGCAGTGGAAAATTTTCGGAGGGTTGGTCCATAGGTTGTGCTCCCAGACCTCCCTGGGCAGAGAGTAATTGGAGAAGAAACTGTAGCAGTTGGGTTTGAACTGTAACCTTTTCTTTCTCCTGTAGGCCGATCAGCTGACCGAGGAGCAGATCGCTGGTAAGTCCGGGGTGGTGCAGGTCCCCTTAAACCAGAGCTAGACGGGACTCAGCTTGGGTTCAGTGACGCCTGTCTCCCCTTCCTAAAATCTGAAGTGCTCTAAGCACTTAAGTGGCAACTAAGTAAGCAGAAATACTGAGGCCGGATATCATTGCCACTAATTGGAAGATTATGTGAAAAGGAAAAAAAAAGTGGGACCAAGACAGTCCATTTGTTGTACTCTGAAGTATTTGTTTCAGCAGGTTGGCTTGCAAATCAGAAGAGGAAACAGCCTTTTGCTCAAAGAGGTCCTTTTAGAATTCTTGCGTCACTGGGCTTGTAAGGAACCACCCTAAAATCTTGTATTGGCCAGGTGACAATCAGTGAGGGTGGGTGGGAGAAAACGAGAGTTAGGGCACCTGTCATAGCTGGATGGAAGTTACTCAGAGAGCCCGGCAAGCTACCGAGAGTATCTCGCCCGCACGGCAAAGCCTGGCAAGCTACCCGTGACGTACTCGATATGCAAAACACAGTGATAATAAGTCTCACAATGGAGACATTACTGGGCCCGCTCGAGCAAATCGATGAACTTTAGGTTTTAAGGTATTTTTTTTTGTGCTTGTTTTGGGGGCCTCACCCAGCAGTGCTCAGGGCTTACTCCTGGCACTGTGCTCAGGGGGTCACTCCTGGCAGGGCTCGGCTTGGAGTATCTGAGGTTCCTGGAATTGGACTGGGCTCGCCGCAGGCAAGGCAAGGCCTTAATCCAAATACCGTCTCTCTGGCCCTCGGTTTTAGCTTGCATTACTCTCTGGAGGATATATGTAGATATTTTTTGGAGGCGGTTTCTCTTGAGGAAACTCGGAATGCCTCTGAGAGGCGCTGAGTGCCTTTGAGGTAGGCTGGTTGCCCGGGACTCCTCCTCACGTTGCTATGGAACAAGGCGTTCTTGGGGCTGGCGCGTCCAACAGGAAGAGGCCTTTAGGGACGGTGTGGGCCAGTCTACACTCGGGTGGGACTCAGGACCAGTTCGAGCTCAGCATCCTTTAAAGACAAGAGAGCATCGCGGTTTTCTGGAGCGGTTGCCAGGAGTGCTATTTGCTCGATGGCCTGTGCCCGCGAAGGGCCAGTTCAGGGGCGACTGGAGTCTTGTCCTCAGTGGCTAGAGACCGGGCGGGTCCTGATGGATCGCGCAGCTGGACTGGTGGCAGCCAGTCCCGGGGAAGCCAGTCCGGTGGCGCTGGGCGGGGTCAGTGACATTCATTCTCAAAGGTGAACTTTTGTTTTCAGAGTTCAAGGAAGCTTTCTCCCTGTTTGACAAGGATGGTGACGGCACCATCACCACAAAGGAGCTCGGGACCGTCATGAGGTCACTGGGCCAGAACCCAACAGAGGCCGAGCTGCAGGATATGATCAACGAGGTGGATGCTGACGGTAAGGGTCTGAGGGCTGCGGAGGAGCAGCAGCGCGGTGCGAGTCGGGTCCAGACGCATCCCCGGCTTCCGGGGGCCTGGAGCTAAACACGCCGGGGTCCTTGCTGTGGTGGTCCCCTTGCAGCCTGCTCCTTGAGCATTTCCTGGCTGAGATCGTCTTACTGCTCGTTTCCACTTGCTGTGACCTCGAGCTCAGTAGTCGTCTTCTCCAGTGGCTAGTAGATAAAATGCCTAAAACACTTGCACTAAATATCAAATAGCCTCAAAAACTCGATCTCTTAAGAGTAGAGGAAGGACCTCTTCTTGAGATGTTAGCAGGTACAGACTGGGGTGGGGGGGGGGCGGCTCAGAGGCCTTACCCGCCCCCTGAACCACTGGGCGTGCTCCCTCCGACACCCCCCCAGATTAGCAGAGAACTGAGCGCCATGTGAAGTACGTGCATGTATGTGTGTGCGTGTATGTGCCGAGAGCTTGCTGAGGATCAGGTGAGGTGCGTGACGATGACAGGGCACAGCCAAGAGTGTAAGAGAAGGGGAGGAGGGGAGAGGTGGCCCTGAGGTAATGCTGCTGTCACCGGCCGGCCGCTCCCGAGGCCTCCCGCCTGATGGACAGCTGACCTTTTCTTGCTCGCTTCCTTCCAGAAGCAGCTTTTGAGCAACCCCTCCGCCGGAAATCTGTACTCCGCACGAATACACCGCAAAGCCTGGCGCACGGTCAAGCTGGAAGGCTGAGCGGAGAGCAATTTGGGGCTTAGATGATTTGAGAGAGGGTCGACTTGAGATTCGCCGTTTGACACAAACGGTGTGAGGTCATTGAAAGAACAACGAGTTGTACTTGCTAGAAGAAGCAGGGGTTTCGGTGACGCTCTTAGCATAGAAGTCCGGTCCCTTGGAGCTTAATCACTGATTTTGGAAAATGGGATTGTTCACAACTCGAGGCTGCCGAGAGGAGCAGCCTGTCTGGAAGCGGTGGAGGGTCCTGGCTATGTGCGGGGGCCCCAGGAAATGGCACTTGGGGTGTCAGTGTAGGAAGGGCGGAGCTCTGGCACCTTGCTGAATGAAGGGGTGCAGCACCAATAACTCTGGATGTCCCTGCATGATTGTGAGCAGACGCTCCGGATCATATTTGTCTTCTACGAAAGTAGCACTTTACGGTTGTAGAAACCAAAACTACTTGAAGGACTCGCTGACTATTTTCAAGTGAAGGGACTAGTGAAAACAAGTAACCTAACCCTGTAATTTCAGGTCACAAGACGGCTTGTCTTTTGGGCGTGTTCATCTGACTTCGTTTTTTTTGGGGGGGTGGGGTGGGGCATTGAATCTTTGGAGAGCTTCAGGCGTAGCATCTGAAATTTTAATGAGCTGAGCTGTGAAAACAATTCTGGGGCTTTCTAAGCTTTGCCCTTTGTGGAAATAGATACTTGCTTGGCAAGAAAAGAATGAAGTGGCCTCTCAGTGGCTGAGAAATAACTCCCCTCCCTTGGTTTGGGGGTAGGGGTGTAGGTCGTGTCCAGCTCTGCTAAGGCTTGGTTTCGTGATGCTGTGGGTGTTGGTTGCTTGCGGAAAAGATCTCAGCCGTTTCTCTGGCCTCAGGACTTTGTAACCCATTCTGGTCTTCTGCATAACAAAGTCAAATTTCCCAGGTCACCACTACCCTAAAAACAGATTTTTGGGGTTTTTTGGGGGGGTGCGGGGGGTCACACCCTGTGGTACTCGGGGCTTACTCCTGGTTCTGAGCTCAGGGATCCATCTTTGCTGGAGGGCTCAGAGAACCATGTGGCTGCCAGGAGATCAAACCCCTGTTGGCCGTGTGCAGGGCAAGCGCCCTCCCCACTGAACTATCATTCCAGCTCCCTAAAAACAGTTTGGACTTGTAACTTGGTGGCCCAGTCCTAGGTCTTCCTCAGTGTCACTAGCCTAAAGCAGTTTGTCCCCTTGGTCTCAGGGAACGTGCACCCCAGCCCCTCGGGAGAAGGTCGTCGAGTGGGGGTGGAGGGGCACTGTGTGCTTGAACAGGGAGTTCCTCCTTGAGTGGTGAGGGGGGTCTCTGTGTGTGCCTTTTCCTTTGTACCCGCAAATGCTGTCCCGGTTGTCGGCCTGAGTGTTGTGAAACCTGTGGGCCGTGGGAACAGTTCAGCCTGCCGGTGGTGGTCTCTGAGAAAATCAGGCTGTCATGGGGCTCCCAAGTGACCCGCACCGGGAGCATCACTGGAGCACTTAATTTACACGCACTTCTTTTTTTTTTGTAATTTGAGGAAATGGCACCATTGACTTCCCAGAGTTTTTGACTATGATGGCTAGAAAAATGAAAGACACAGACAGTGAAGAGGAAATCCGTGAAGCATTCCGAGTGTTTGACAAGGTAATTGCTGTCCACGTTGCATATGGCGTTTTACTGGGGTTTTTTTTTTTGTTTTTTTTTTTGGCGGGTGTGTGTGGGAGGGTGGCAGTCCTTTTAGGTTGTTTCTGTTTTGGGGATGGACCCAGTGGTGTTCAGGGATCACCTCAGACTGTGTTCAGGGATCACCTCAGACGGCTTCAGGGGAACCCCATGGGGTGCCAGGGCTCGAACTCGGGTTGACATTGTGCATGGCAAGCACCAGGCAAGCACCCCGCACTATCTCTCTGGCCCCCTGTTGGATTTTGAAAGGGCTGGAGCAGTCCTTGTTAGAGAGCTCGCAGCACGCTGCTGGCCCCCGTTGGGGAAGCCACACTCCTCAGCACCCTGGCTTAATGCAGAGTGACCTTATCAGAGCAGACTTAAGCGTTACAAAATAGCAGAGAAATTGGAGTCGGATTTCTTGGTGGTTACTTTGGTTTTCTTTTTTCTTTTTGGGTCACACCCAGCAATGCTCAGGGGTTCCTCCTGGCTTTGCACTCAGGAATTACTCCTGGCAGTGCTTGGGGGACCTTATGGAATGCCAGGGATCGAACCCGGGTCGGCCGTGTGCAAAACAAACGCCCTACCCGCTATGCTATCGTTCTGGCCCCTACTGTGGTTTTCTTGTGGCTTATGAAATCCCTGCTCTGGTGCTCAGGCGGTGTGAGTTAGAGGCGGGGGTGGGTGGCGGAGTGGCCGGGCACACATGCCGGCAGCGGCCCCCACCCCCGGCAGACCGCCTTGCACGAGTGTGGGGCCCCCTCCCCTCGGCTCCCTCCCTAACCCGTTCTGAACCTTCCCAGGACGGCAACGGCTACATCAGCGCTGCAGAGCTCCGTCACGTCATGACAAACTTAGGAGAAAAACTAACAGACGAAGAAGTAGACGAAATGATCAGAGAAGCAGATATTGACGGGGACGGACAAGTCAACTATGAAGGTAAGCCCCGCCTCGCTCTTCCCCCTCAGGCTGGAGACTCTGTGTCTGTGCTGGGCTCTCCTCTCCGGCGTGTGGTCTGTCTGAGGGAAACTGTGCTCGCTAACCTTGCCGCTGCCTTGGAAGATAACAAACTTATGATTGTTTGTCTTTTCAGAATTCGTACAGATGATGACTGCAAAATGAAGACCTACTTTCAACTCCTTTATCCCCCCCTCTAGAAGAATCAAATTGAATCTTTTACTTACCTCTTGCAAAAAAAAAAAAAAGTTCATTTACTCATTCTGTTTCTATATAGCAAAACTGAATGTCAGAAGTACCTTCTGTCCACACACACCCAAAATCTGCATGTCTTGGTTGGTGGTCCTGTCCCCTAAAGATCAAGCTACACATCAGTTTTCCGATATAAATACTTGTACTACCTTAACGATAAGGAAGCACTTAGTGGATCCGCGCAGTTCCATTTGCTAATGATTACTACACTGTTTGGGCTGGCCAGTTTTTCATGCATGCGGCTTGACAATTGAGCACAGTCAGGCATTTGTATTAAAAAAAGAAAAAAAAACCAAAAAAAAAGAAAAAAAAATCCGAAACCTAGTCCAATGGGTTCTAGTTCCGTTTGTTAGCATAAATTGTCATAGCTGGTTTACCGGAAGGAAAAGGAAAGGAGAAAAAAAAACCCAACCCATTAAAAATTGGTTTACCTCGGGGTGCTGTGCAGAAAAGGGGGTGAAGGAGAAACTGTCTAGTTAGAGTTGCCCTCGAAGGATGGTCCTCCTGTACTTCCTGAGTCCCGGGCCATGGGGCGGTGACACCCCGCAGGGGCCAGGCCCGAGGGCTGGCTGAGCACGGTCCGCATTGTGCCAGGATGAGACGGGTTTCAGGCTGTCACTGCTGACACAAATTTTTATCAGACACCTTTTCTCAAGGGAGCATCTTTGGACTCTCTTTTTAAAAACCTTCTCAACCTTGACTTGGGGCCCTAGAGTAGTCGGCTGGGGGCATCGCTGTTCGAGAAACGACAATTTCTGTCCATTCCAAGTTATAAATGCTAGTCCTTTTTTTTTTTTCCCAAATAAAAAAAAAAAAGACCATTAACTTAAAAGTGGTGTTAACTGCTTTGTAAAGCTGAGATCTAAAAGGGGACAAGGCAGGCGGAGGGGGAGCGCGCCTCGAGCCGCCCCCCCCCCACCCCCCCCCCCAGCCCTTGGCGGTGGTCGGGTTCCCGTCACCAACCTCAGAGCGGAGACCTCGCCTACAAGGCAAACAGATTCGCAATTGCTTCATCCTATTTATGGACATAGGTCTACTTGTACTTGGGGAGGGGGGGAGGGCGGGCGGGGGGGGGGTGGTGGTGAATTACAGTAACTTAATAATTCAGGCAGTAGAGCTCTGGAAGGGGGGGGCAAAAAAACACTTTCTCAAGCATGTATTTCGGGGTTCTTCTCAGTCGTGCTGCTGATAACCTGTTGTATGTCACTATTTGAGACCATCCGTGCAAGAGACATGCTCCGCTGTGTCCGTAACTCGATCTTCTCGCTGTGCGTGGTAGCAGTAGTCCCTTCTCTAGAGCCAGTCTCATGCCTAAAAGACACTACGAGCCGTCACCTTGGGATTCGGGAGTTTCCATTCGTGATTCTTACTTACCTTTGCCTCGACTTTTTAAAAAGAAGAAAAAAAGTTTTTTTTTTTTTTAAATGTCTCTAAGTTGGCTTCTCGCTTTTTCTCCAGCCCACCCCCACCCCTCCTCCTCCAGCAAGCAGAACTAATGCTGGGCTCCAGCCTGAAAATAAAACTGCAGCCCAGAGTGAATTTTGTGTCTAATTATAAACCAGTAACCCACACTCAGATGCGGGGCCTCGGAGCTGCCTGGTGGGGGAGGCCCTGAGCGGCAAAATTGCGTGTCGTGGCAAACTCTGTGAAGGCTGATGTGCATTATTTTTTATTGTTGTTATTATTTTTCCAGGGTGTTTATGGACTATCTTCGTAGCAAGGAGATTGGGGTTTTGAGAGTGTGTCGGGGGAGGTTTGGATTTGCCAGGGAGACGAGGAGTCGCTCCTGGCAGCCAGCCTGGCAGTCAGCTGCGTTTCCTGAGCCCCCTGACTGCTTCCTCTCCTACTCCCGGTTCCTCTGGCGATGCGGAGCTTGTCCGCCTCCCGCCGGAGGGCGAGGTCAGAGCCGTGGAGAGGAGCTGCCCGCCTCTGCCCTGGACCCGGCCGGGCATTTGCACGGCAGAGGCAGATGCCAGGAGCTGAGGGTCGGCTTCCACGGGCCCCTGAATCTAGCCCTGGCTTGGGGCCTCTGGCGGTGTGTGGGACCCTGGGCTGGGTTCCTGGAAGTGTCGGTTTCCATGGTACCTGATGGTTTCTCCTAGGGTGCCCCTAGTGGCCTGACTGTTGACCCAGCCCTGGGCCCGGTGACCTGGAATAGCTTGGGAAAGGATTTTTGGGTGCGGGTGCTTGTTTTCAAAAATTTGCCTTTCACTCCGTCTTTCCGGAAGCTGGGGTTAGGGAAGGGGTTGTGGGGGGGGACTTTTGTGGTCTCAGTCTTCCAAGACTACCTTTGGGTCCACGTTCTTGTGTGGCCAGCATCCTGCCTGGCAGCCGGAAGTATCTCCCCTCCCCTCCCCCCACCTGGGGGATGCTGAGTGCTGTTGGGTGCACAGGTGAAGCCTCGTCCACAGAAGCCTTTGCTCCCCCCGGCTGGCAGTGGGCACGGTCAGCGCCGGGGGCAGGGGGCTGGTGTCTGCAGGGCGTGGGAGTTCGTGCGTAAGGAGAGGGCCGGGCCGACCTCACCTCCGGGGTTGCGAGCACCTTCCCGTCCACTCTTGCCCCTCCTTAGAACTAACTGCTCTATAAATAATATACATAGGTTTATATATACAAAGTGACTAGTTTAACTGGCATCCCGCTTGAGCCTGAGTCTTGCCGTAAAAGACTGCTGAGTTCTTGGCACTCATTCCCGCGGTCCCGTTCTCCGTCCGACTGGGGCAGGTGGCGAGGCAAACGTGTTGGGGGGCCTTCCTGGGGTCTCTGCCCCGCCGCCGCCAAGAAAGGCTTTTTTTCTGATCTTTTGACAAACCGAACTTTTTGCACACATCAATTGGTGTCTTTTCGGCAACTTAAAAACACATCCGAAGATTAGCGACTGTACATATTTTTATATTCTCTTTATAAATGCATGTCTGACTATACCAGTAAGCAAATTGTGACCCGTGGCTGTCCCGTAGACCCGGCTCTGCTGGGGCCGGTCAGCGTAGCAGCATATCTAACTAACCCCTCAGCATATTGGGAACTTCTTCCTAAACAAAGAATGTAAATTTGGTTGTCTGCTCTTTGTTCTTTCAATTATTTAAACCTTTGGAATTATTGTATATCCTAAAGATTCTGATCTCCTCGGCAGTGACTAGATTTCCACAAATGTGTCTTAATCTCTCCCTTCAACTGGCAATTACTCTTTTCTTTTTTTAAAAAAAATGAAACAAAACAAAAACTCGAAGTCGTCCTGTAGGTGACAGAAATCCCTTGCTGTCCCTAACTTCCCCGGGAGTCGGAAGGTTGTGGCCTGGGTGGAGGGTGTTCTCTCTCCAGATCTCGCCCGATGTTCATTAAACACGTCCATGGCAAAGACGGGTGGTTGTTGTTTTGTTAGCGCGCGCCGCGGCTGTCGAAAACAGATGGACTTGCAAGTTTCTGTCAATCTTGAGATCAACTGTCTGGAGATTTAACCACCTCTCTGATGGGGGACCAACTCTATGGAAATTGTAAATACGTTTTATTTATAAACCTGGCACTGTATTCAATAAACATTTCTGCAGCCTTTCATCTCTACCTGCGAACTGTGTAGGTTCTTAGCTTGCAGTGTTTTCCGTCTCTGCTGGCCCCTGGACCGCGGGCCCCATGTGCGCTGAGGCGGTTCCAGCCGGCGGAGGTGAGTGAGTAGGAGGCTGGGCTTTCGCACTCAGCCCACCACGGCCTCGCTCGGATATCAGGGTTCGGGTTCTACTAGCTGACATTTCCACGCGATTTCCACATTTCCTCCTCTTTCTCTCACCCAGGGCCTCAGATAGACAGGCCAGGCAAATATACTTTCGCCAAGTCAGATTCCAACTCTTCGACACAAGTCTCTTGACCTAGCAATGTGCTCATGCGTGCTTTTAGGCCAGAGAACAAGCTCAAAGGACTACGCACATGCTTTTGGGAGATCAGGGTTCGATCCCCTGCACTGCATGGTTCCCCGAGCACCACCAGGTGTGACTCGAACTCCCCCTCCACCCCCAACACGAAATCTCCCGTGGTTTTCAGCGCTAGTCTAGGAATCGTGTGTCGAGAGGAACACTTTGAGACTGAGGGTTGCTCCAGCTCAGCGGTTGAATGCCAGCCTGGAGCGGGTGATGTCCTGGGCGCTCTCTCCTCTTCCACGGCCCCCCTACCCCCGGCTCCCACCCTCAGCATGGCGTGTTTGAAACCAGACCGGCTAGGAAACGCTGCTGTGCCATATGCATCCTAGCCAAGAGCAGGGCAGCTGCGGAAAGTGGAGTAGGTTGGAACTTGCAACCGGAAATAATCCTCCTCCACTGCTCTAAGCTCGGGCTCCCATGCAGACGAGGTTTTCTGGGTTTGGGTTTGGGGCCGCACCTGATGGTGTCGTGCTACCTTTCCCGACCCCCCTCTTTGCCTTGGATACCTTACGTGGTTTCGGGGATCAAACCTGGGTCCCCTGTGTGCAGAGCATGCATCCCTCCCGTGAAGCACTGGGTGCTGAGCAGTGACAGAGCTGGGAGTTGCGGGGGGGGGGGGGGGGGGGAGAGGGGTGAGCCTCTGGGATGATGCATCTAGAGAGGAGTTGCCAGGGAAGTGATAACCGGGGCAGGGGCAGAGCCCTCTGCCTTGCAGCTAGGGGAGAGCCTGCTTTGAAAAGTACGATGATGAGGGGTTGGAGCGATAGCACAGCAGGTAGGGCGTTTGTCTTGCACGCCGCCGACCCGGGTTCAATTCCCAGCATCCCATATGGTCCCCCGAGCACCACCAGGAGTAATTCCTGAATATCACCGGGGTGACCCAAAAAGAAAAAAAAAAGTACGATGATAGGGCTGGAGCGATAGCACAGCAGGGAGGGCATTTGCCTTGTGCACGGCTGACCCAGGTTCAATTCCCAGTATTCCAAATGGTCCCCCGAGCACCGCCAGGAGTAATTCCTGAGTGCAGAGCCAAGAGTAATCCCTGAGTATCGCCGGGGTGACCCAAAAATAAAAAACCAAAAGAAAAGTACAAGAGGGGGATGGGGGGAAGCAGAGAAATAGTGCCCCAGGTCGGGTGATGGTCTAGCACACAGCCGATCTGGGTTCTGGGTTTGGTCCCCAGCACCCCACGTGGTCCTCTGAGCCTGCCAGGTGTGATTCCTGAGCATCACTAGGTGTGGTCCCCAAACCAAATAAGGTCATGAGACCAGACCCACCCATTTCAATGCCTTTCTCCTTTTCTGACCAGCCCAGCTTGGCACCACTGATGGGTGGGTGGGGCGGGGGGGTGGTGTCTAAATAAAAATCGCCACCCTGAGGGCAGAAGGCCAAGCGGTGGGAGTGCCAGCGACTCTGAAATGACACACAGGATTTTTCGAGTCTCAGCAGCTCCCACTTGGGGGTGGAGGAGAGGGGAAGCTTGTTATTAAGTCTGTGATGTCATAGTGGAATGTGGGTCAGAGAAACTGATCATTAAGTGACTTCCAGCCTCCTCCCAAGATGGAAAGGGGAAGCTCCCGCCCAGCCGGGGCCGCAGGAGAGAGTGACAGCAGTGACGTCACGGGGCCGGTGGCGCTCTGGTTCAGAAGCACACGCGCACGCATATTTCCGACTGGAGCCCAGCGACTCCCCCGGGCCCCGGGGGCTAGAGCCCCAGTGACTCAGAACGCCTTAGAAGGAAAGCAAACTTCCAGATTTTTATAGCTCGGAGCACTCGCCTGCTGCCCTCCGCCAGGAGTGGGGGGACTTGACTTGGCTCAGACTCAGGAACCCCAGGAAAGCTGGCGGCCGCCCACCCGCCTTCCTGCTCGTGGGGACAGGGCCTGAGTTAGGGCTGCAAAAATTTTAAAAAGTGGCAGCTTCCTCCGAAGAATTATTTCTGTCCTTCCTGTATGTCAGCAGCCTTTGGCTGAGACTCTGTTTACATGTCCCCGTAGTATTTCCAAGTTTTATTTTCCCTTTTTGTAAGACGAGAGGCAGAGAGTCTGTCCTCTGGTAAGATGGTTTCTTGACCATTTTGTGACAGTAACCTCTCTCCTGGCTCGAGCATGTGCACTTGGCTTTGGAGCTCATTTTCTCTCCCTTTTCGGGTCTTTGCCTTCCAAGCGGTGATATTTTGGAGAGACTAGAGGCGGGCGGGTACCATGTTTTATAGTAAAAGGTGGATGTTTGTTTTTTTCATGCATATTGATGCCAAGTCAACGTTTGAGATGGCGGGGAATGGTGGGGTGGGTTGTTTTGTTTTGGGGTCATACCAGTGGTGCTCAGGGCTTCTGGCTTTGGGGTGTTGGAGATTGAACCTGGATCTGCAGCGTGCAAGGCAACTCCTTAGCTGCTGGACTCCCTTCCTAGCCCCATTTTTGTATTTTAAATTAATAGTATTTACTTCTGGGGGGGGATGTTTTTTTAAAGGAATGTATGGGGAGATTAGTAGAGTGGATAGAACACTTGCCTTGCGTGTTGTTGACCCTGGTTCATTTTTTAGCACAGCAGATGGTTTCTTGAGCACCAGCAGGAGTGATTCCAGAGCAGGCAGGACTAAATCCCGAGTCAGGCTGGCTGTGGTCCCAAACCAAGAAATAGCAGGATCAGGGAGATTTCTCATGGGGCTGAACACAGGTTCTAGCCCCAGCTACACCCTGATCCCTTCCACACCACCAGGTGTGGCGTAATAACCAAAAAAAAAAAATTAAAGTAATTAGGAAATCATATTTTTAGTTAAACGGACTACGTTAGGGCTGACGGGATCGTGCAGCTGATAGGGCACCGGCCAGGCTCAATACTCGACACCCCCTACGGGGCCCTGAGCACAGAGTGAGGAGTATACTCTGAGCCCCAGAACAATAAAAAGAAGTAGGTCACATTCTGTAGGTCAACGCCCCGGTACAAGGACCCATTTTTGGTGGTTCTCAAACTTGGGAATACTTTCCATGACAAGCCTATGAACTCATCAGGCAGCCCAGACCCAGTTTTTATAAAAATATTTTTCTGATTCCAAAAGAAATGTCACTTGGATTAAATTTGTTCTATGTAGTGACTCCGTTGCACGGTAAAATTTAGGGTCCTTTTTTAGCACATTTTTTTATTATATGTCTTGAGATCTGTTTACTCTTTGTGCTCTTTTTTTTTTTTTTTTTTTTTTTTGCTCCTAAAGATTTCATTTTTCTGGAATTGTATCATTCAGGGCAGGAGTTAAGGCACCTGCCTGGCATGTGGCCAGTACCAGTACCCATCCCTGAATACCGCGTGGTTCCCCAGGCATCACCTGGGGTAACCTGAGTACTAGTGGGAGTTCTGGAGCAGCAGGGCAGAGTGGAGGGGACTGGCCTTGCACTCAGCTGACCTGGGTTCAATCCCTGGCATCCCATAGGGTCCCCCGTTCACTGCCAGGAATGATTCTTGAATGCAGAGCTAGGAGTTACTCCTGAGCATTGCTGGGTGTGTGCCCCCCCCCCAAAAAAAACTAGCAACAGCAAAAGGTATAACCCCAAACAACCCCTGCCCTTACAGAGCGTTCAATCCAGTGGAGTATGATACATCCACAAGACTACAACAGTCTCCTTAATCTCATCTGAGAATAGCGTCATCTTCCCCTGTATGAGGCTTTGCACCCCATCCTCCCCCTCGCCAGCCTCAGGCACACCCTTGTCTGCCTCCCAACTAGATTTTCCGGGCACTGTACCTCTTCATGGAGGGGCCCTTCCAGGCTTTTCCCCCTCGTGCCTTTTCTACCCAGCATTTATTTCCGCATCGGCTTCCACCCCAGGTATCATTCGTCAGAGCAGGCTGTATGAAACGGCGTGAATTAACTCACCCTTCCCCTCACCACCACCGTTTGGCACTTGCTATTTCGAGCAGTTCCAAGTGTGAGAACATCACGGATCGAGTGAAACCTGCTTCCCTGTTGCTTCCACGGATTGGCTGTACTTAGGCGCGGTGGGATTCCTTCGCGCCCAGCCCGATTCCACAAGGCACTGCTCGTGGTGGTGGTGGTGGTGATGGTGGGGTGCAGCCTCACACCACCACCCTCCCCCGGGACTTCAGGCTTAGTATTTGTTCTTTGGGGGGTGGGTCACACCCTACAGTGTTCAGGGATCCACTCCTGGTGATGCTCGGGGACCCCTACCAGGGTCCTGGGATCAATCCAGTGTCAAACACATGCAAGACAAGTGCCTTAACCTCTGAACTCTTTCTTTGGGCCCCTTCTTAAAACGCCCCATTTTGAGAGAGATCAAGATGGGGTGAAGTAGATGCGGGTTGGATGTTCTGATTTCTGTATTCAGAAATGTGATAGCACAGTGGGGAGGGCATTTGCCTTGCACGCGGCCAACCTGGGTTCGATCCCCGGCATCCCATATGGTCCCCGAAGCACCGCCAGGAGTAATTCCTGAGTGCAGAGCCAGGAATAACCCCTTGAGCATTGCTGAGTGTGACCAAGAAAGCAAAAAAAAAAAAGTCTGGCCCTGCAAGTATTCTGACTCGACCCTGAGCATCGGGGCAGTAGTTGATTCTCCAGTAGACTCTTCTTACATTCTAGTCAAGGCAAAGGCCATTACCTCTTGTGCTCTTTTGGCAGTGCTCAGGGGTCTC